AGAGAGAGAGAGAGAGAGAGAGAGAGAGAGAAGAGGAGAGGAGGAGGAGAGAAGAGAGAGAGAGAGAGAGAGAGAGAGAGGAGAAGAGAGAGAGAGAGAGAGAGAGAGGAGAGGATGAGAGAGATGAGACGATGAGAGAGATGTGTATCTATATGCATGCATATATATATATATACATATATATACATATATATATATATATATATATATATATATAATATATATATATATATATATATATTAATGAAGTAAAAGTTGTACCGTACAGCGCCAATGTCGCATACAAGTCTTTACAGTAGGGGCAATGTCGTGTATAAGCAAAGACTGAAAAGCTTTGGCGGTAGAGGTGATGGCGGGTATCGATTTTTGAAATATACAGTTTGGCATGTAGCACTTATGTCGTGTATAAGAATTGACAGAAGAAGCAATGTCGTCGCACTCCTGTAGGTAGTCTTTGTGGGAGAACTAATGCGGAACCGGGATGTCGCAGCTGGCTGGTTATACTGCGCCGCTAGATGCGAAATGCTTGCGGCGCAGTCTACCATTCGCTGGGTTCCATCGCCCATTGTCAACAAGGCGCCAACTTCATGGAATGGAACAAGGCGAGATATACCTAAAAACAGATTACCTGATTGTTGACAGGACGGGTGAGATGCATTTTATTTAGCATACTGCATCTCCTAAAACCTAACTTTCGTCGCTAACTCTCGCCTGGTGTTTTTGTCTGCGCCTGACTATTATGGATCACTCAGAGCAGCCGGTAAAACAATGGCGTCGTGTTTGGTAATATTTCTGCGTCATAACATAATGCATAATGTTTTAGGCCTCTGTTTTGCGTGTTTCGTTCTTCACGCTGGCAGTATTGCAGCAGAACATGGGTGACACAAGAGTGGAACAACCATCCGGGCGAACGCTTCAGGGATATAACCGTTATGGAGTCCATGATCAAAGACGTGGCATTTTTGAATTACCTCAGACCCGAACAAACGGCCTAATAATTCATCCCGGCGCATCAACTATGTGTACGTGCTCAAGTGCATTTCCTTTCCAAGGTGATGAGATGTTGCTGGAAACCTGGTTCTAAAATCGCATCTCAACTGGGTAATATGCAAAGCAAAGGTCTGATCTCATTCAAATGGGCCAGCGTCCGAGTCTGTTAAGTTTTAAACGTGGTCGACACTGATGAGAATAAATTAATTATCACTGATTTGCATGAAATCACCAGAAATACCCAGTTGTTGTAGAACAATTTCCGAAAGGTTTTGACGTGATTTATGCTCTCCGACCGCTCCGTCACAACGGTTGCCGTTCCTTCATGACTCTGCGTTAGCAGTATTTAATGAAACACGTCTCGCGTCTCCACAACTTTTTCTCTTTAAATCTGGTTACCTTGGGATGGTTTTGATATCGTAAAATAACTGCTTATCATGGTGCATCCATTTATCCAGTGTCATGGGTTAAGAGCTTAAAGGAAATGACATGCTCTGAAGTAAGCAATGAGAGGATGTCATATCTTGGTTACTGCAATGGACAATATCTTCCACGTATGGAACCTAGAACGTACAAATTGTTGTAAAATTGTGCAAAAATTAGTACGCATATAATATATAATGGTGTACAATGTCACAATGCAAAATAGAACTGAAATACATATCATAACATAACATCTACAAACAATTGTATTCATCTCTTATTCTCTTTGTTTCGTGCATTTTAGCGCATTAAGCCACTCTTCTTTGTATTTTTCTGGTTTACTTTTCTTTACGACATTTTTGTTTCAATATATTTTTTTGTTTTTGCTTTCATGTTGTCTGGGTACAGAATTAACAGTACAGCAAGCGGCGAATCGCCATTTTCCCTTGGTAAGCACGGAGCACATCACCGCGTCGCATGTCTCGGGCGACGGACCGGCCAGCGGACTCGCCCACTCTGTGCCTGGCATGCACGCACTGACCTGGAGACTGTAGTGATGGTTCCGAACATATTCCTGGTATATGCTCAGCATCGGTAGCAGCATGTCGAACAGGTCTCCTGGAGCGGTGACAAAACAGCTCAGGCGCGGCGGCAGAGCTCGAGTGCTCGAGTAGCAACTCCAAACCCATCCAGCAATGCAATGAATGGCCTACTCGGACACCTGGATGCACGCTTTACATCTGTACAAGACACAGTCGTTGAGACAGTAACGTCGCAAATAATAAACGCAGTTTCATAGATGAGTTGACCTGGTTGATAGAGACCGCTTCTCCCAAAGGCACAGTGGTTTTGCCTTTTTTCGCCTTTACAACTTTTCCATGATGTAGGATCTATTGAGGCCGAAAGACACAATGGGGGCAGGGTTGAGGATCTTCTTAAGAAATACAAGTCTACATGTATGCCTGCAGTTTTGGCCGACACGCCGTTATTACATAGAAAAATGAACCATACTATCCGACCAACGTCACCTACACAACAGTAGCCTCAACCCACCGCTGACGTTGTCTAAACGTATTCCACCACCCGGTTAACGCCCAGGGACGCTCCCGCGTCCCACAAGGGGGCGTGCACAGCGCGGCCGTGCCCGCGCCGGCCCGCGCGGCTGCGGCGTATCCCGGACGGTGGCAGCCGGAGCTGGTCTGCAGCAATGGTGCCGGCCGCGCTGCTCGGCCGACGCCTGTCTCCGCTAACTACGTCCGTTATCAACAGCCAGCATGCCGCATGCAGTTCACGGAGACGCGCCGGCCGGCGGCGCGTGCGGCGGCCGGCGGCGGGCGGCCCTGTCGTGCGCCCCGGGCAGTGCCGGACGCGCCGTCGGGGCGGGGCCGGGGCCGGGTCGCAGGCCGTGGACTAACACAGCAGTGTGGGTGCTCTCCAGCGAGAGGTGGGAGTTAGGAGGGGTGCAACCTGTGGGCAGTTTTGGATGCAGGGATCCGATGCTTGGTGCTGTTGGGTGGTAGAATCGAGATGCATGACGGGTGAAGAGTGTATCGGTCCATTTTAGCCTGTTACGCGGCAATCGATGTAATTACATTCATGTTACAGCGCAAAGCTTATGCGATCATTCATACTTTGTCGACGTCAGTAAGACTAGATATAATTATTTCTGCCATGGATTAGATTCGCAAGTATATTTGCTTTCACTTTATGCATACGGAGCAGGAGGACCTGCTTAAGTTTAACAGATAATTTGACACAGATTCTCTCGTGACAATGCATAACGCTACAACTCATTATGCCTGCGAATGAACAAAGTTTGAATGATTGGAACTGAATTAAGTGTCTGGTGATGCCCGAGTCACGCCAAATGAAATTCTTCCTACCGGGGATTAGTTTCGTCTGGTATACTTACTTTTGAAATATCTTCTCGGAGCGGTAGGACCTGCTCACGTTTCATCAGAGCTTTTAACGCAGCTCTTCTCGTGATGATGTATTTTTGCTATTTGAGCTTAAGGCGCGTCGAGAGCTGCGGTCACTTGGCGCCCAAACTGTGGCTGTGTAGAACTATGTCGCGTTTCATCATATAAAGTTGCTGTTGTGGGCTTCCGAAGCGTGTCAAAAAGCACAAGTTGTGCAAAATGAACGCCCGCACTGCGCATTGTGCAAGGCATCCCACACGCAGCTCATGTAAGCTCGGTACGGTAGGGTGCTTTCAACCAGGGTCATGCGACTTCAGAAGATCAAATGATCATGAAGTCAATGTCGTTTAAAAACGCAAGAACTACTCTCATGTCAATAGTGGGGTCCTTGCTTACAAGTGAACGCAAGGGCAATCTACGTTGCATATGCCGGCTACAGGGACGACAGCACTCGGTGGCAAAGAAAGGGAGTTCCCCAGGGACATGGGTGACGGACAGCGCGTGACCACAGCGACGACATGCTGGTGTTTTCCCTGCTGACGGGAGGAAAGCCCATGCGTCCCGTGTATGTGACCTACGCGGGTTCGGCACGGGCCAATTGCCTCCCTTCCTCTGATGCGATGAGAGGCCTGCCACTCGCCTAAGTTTGACTTGGTAGCGCCAAGCTTGCTCTGAGCGTTTCCACGGTCGTCAGCGCTCTTCCGATCCCTTGCCTTTTGCCAGTCTACCGCTAAGCGAGCTGACAGCATCTGCCTCAAGCCCGGGAATGGTTCGTGGCGAGGCATAGCGCCACTGCTTATTATATTTGGGAGTGAATGAAACCCGAATGTTGGTGACTGAAATAGGTTTGAGTGAGAGGACAATTAAGTTGGATCAAGCGATGACAACGAAGCACATAACCTTAGGCGGATCAATAGCATGAGGAAATGTAGTGCTGACGTTGCGTGAGGTTTCATCACATGCGTAAGGCTGTAAATAGTCCCAACATTTCGCAAACGTTCCAACCAAATAACATAACGAAATGGTGTAGCTTTTCAGCGGGATGCGTGCACGCAACATTGCTATGTTTTGTGCAATTCTGCAAGTTTCCATCATTCTTCTCTGAATTTGGCACTATGCACCTGTCTGCTGACCTCATGTCCGCTGGAGCGACCTTTGAGTCACATTGGGCGTAGATCTGTGACGTTGCAGTCGGGTGAATGTGCATGCAACATTGCGCACTATGCTGTTTTGCAACTTTTTCAAGATTTTTCTCTGTAGGCTCTTATGCCTTGCGGGGACAGGGGTAGTGATTTCAAAGCTCCACGCTGCTTGCTTTGGCCGTGAATAATATTCCAACATCCTGCACTTTTGCATAATTTTTTTAATCAATTTCTGTGGGTTGATAACTATGCGTTGATGACGTTCATTGAATCTGCCGGCTTGCAACGAAAACTTCACTTAATACCGTGCTGCAACCACGTGCCTCTTTCATAGCGACGCATCGGCAGCTCCTCCGCTCAGGGGTTAGATAAGGCTGAGATGAGGACATAACGACGCAAAGAGTTTGCTTGAGGGGGGGGCTTCCCGTGCTACAACCGTCTGAAACGAGTCCGGTTATAGCACATCGTGCAGAGCACCTCGCCTCCGGCGTTTTGCCGGTGTCCGCCTTTTGATGGACTTCTGACGTCACGCCGTCGGGGGCAGCGACCTTTCGGCCGCAGCCAGCTGTTTTCGTGTTCACCGGAGGGTATCTCCATGGCGGTGACGTTCACGCTATGCGGCGGAAGCTTACATAACTAGATGGAATCCTCGATACCAGCGCATCAATCTGCTCCGGCCACGCCGCAGTGTGTGGTTTTCATGCCCTTCAGCGTGGAAATCGTCCTGTTCTTGCGGTGGCCGGCCAGCTGCCTCCGTGGTCGGTGCGCCGGCCCCGGAGTCTGGGCCTTGACGGCATCTTTGTTGCGATCCAGAGTGAGATTGTGACGGTGGGGCGGGGTAAAGATACAGTAGGAAACAAGCAAAAGAAAGACGCAAATGATAAAACCTAAAATGTCAGCTCCGCCTTACACTGCCTCTTGATAAGCTTTTGATCCGACACGAGGGATTCGGATGTTGAACTCTCCGCAGTCTTCAAGATTGGTGTTATGTAAATGGTGCTAAATTTCATTGCTCCTTTCCGACACGAAATGGGACAGATGGCTATTTAAAGATGGACAGATAACTATTTACTAGCACCTGTCAGCGACACTTCATGGCACTTTTATCAGGGGTATACTCAGGTCTAAGTGGTGTGGAGGGGAGCACAGTGAAACTTTCTGTCCATAATGTAGCCTCTTGATTCAACGTTTTGGTAGCAGCAAACTGCAGTTGTCAGCTGTTGTTCTAAAAACCCACCCGAATGCCACCCTCAACCTTATGGTCACTGCATTATAAAGACATACGTGGTCCGTTGTCTGCATTCTTCATTGGAACACAGAAAGTAACATTCTAAAGCAACAGACATGAAAGTATTTGGTAAGCTATATCGCGGAACTCGACATAGCGGAGCAACGCGGAGGTTTGAGCGCCAGAGAGGACCAGACCAGTTGTTGACCAGAGAAGCCGCGCTTCGACTCGAGCTCCGGCAAGTCCGACCGGGATCCGAACTTCTCCGGATCGTTTTCCCAGACGCGTCTGCTGCCTGCTCTACACCCCGCTAGAATCCCTGTGAGCAACAAGGCAAGTTACCGAAGTTCATCACAGTTGCCACAGCTTCCGGCATTTCGTCACTGCAACGCCACGCGATTGCGGGGCTCGGATACCGTTGCTGTCTGCCAACTTATGAGGTTTTTGCACTGCTGTACCATGTAGTCTATCTTGGGACACCGAATCGTCCGACTTTAGGTACTTCCGCTGTCTCCTGTCCACCCTCAGCTCTGCTTTGATATCTCTGGGTCTGCTCCACGGCAGTATGTTCTCACTCCCTGCTGTTGGTCGGCGAGCACCGTTTCCAATAAGTTCTCACGTTGCACCCCATGACCAGTCCCTTGTAACACAGAAGATTCGATTAGCAAACCTCTCAACCCATCTCGCTTGATGTAGAGCCCTTGGTCAGCTTCCAGCAGATTTGCTGGGAATGCGACTGATGCAGACTTAACCGCTTGACGCAGCCTGAGCGATACGACTGGTTTTTGTTCACATTCTGTCGTTCCAGATGGCTTTGCCGATTGGATGTGTTAGTTGGCCCACTAGTTTTACTAGTTTCACATATTTTTTAGGCTTACACTATGTTTGTATGAACAGTATCGAAAACATGCATCACGGGGAGTTCGTTAATGCCAATGCGGCATGCTCACTGTTGAACAGCCATGCTCTCATTCCGGCGATACCACTTTCATATCGGATAATAATCAATATTGTTCCATCGGAGCCGAGCAGAACCGAATCTGGATCCTCGTCACTGATGAAGTCGGTCAATTCTTTAGCCGCACAACTGTCCCTTCACTGTTAGTGGCGCGTATTCCACGCCTCAATGGCTTAATGCTGGTGCCATTGCCTCAGGTAATTGTTTGTCGGTACGGGTTTACTGCTCCTCTTTGTTAGGGCTCGGTCGTCCTCCGTCGCAAAAGCATCCAGGCATTCAATCACATCTGCTGGCTGTGGGGCTCTCTTCTACCTCCTTCTGTCGCTACTTGTCGATCTGTCCCCAAATCTTGCCGCGATCGACCAGCTGTT